ATCACCATCTAATTCTGGAGGCAGAGCTCTGGAGGCTCGCATTGTTTCCATGGCGCCAGTCTTGTCTCCTGGATACAGTGATGTGTCACATCAACTCTTTTCTCGCCACACGTTTTCCACAAAGTGCCACAAAATCTGATCAAAACCTGAAAGATTCACACACACTGAGGACTGAAGTCTTTGAGGAGTTATGGGGTGTCGAAACGCTTGTTAATACAGCTGTGTCAGTCTGCTGCCAAAGTATACGGCTCACCACTGTGAAATAATAGTGTCCTGAGATATCACTGTCTATAAACAAAAACAGATTTGCTTTGTCCCAAACCTACAAAGACCAGTGCTGTTGGTGATCTTGGTTGCGTGTTCATGTCCAAGTCTTGGCCACTTACCACACTGAAATCCAGGTTTTGCTCGATCCACTCCTGGCCGTCCTTAAACTCGTTGTGGAGGCCCATTATGTAAAGGGTATCCAGGGCGTCAACTATAGTGGCTCCCATCTGGGAATTACCTGCGAAGAAGAGGATGTGAACACTAATTAAAATGTAAACAAACTTAAGTTACATAATAAGGTCCATCTGATGCAAGCAATATTCATTTGCATTAGTGTGAAGTTAAACGCACAGCATATTGAGGAAAAACAAAGCTACCAAACAAACAAAAACAGACATCACTACTATGAAGGAGAGCTATTCATTACTCAATGCCAGACCCTTAATCTTTCGGATTTGGGTCTGGATTTCCAAGCTAAAAAGGTTGCAAAAAAGAAAAAAAAAAGATATAACCCAAGACCCACTGAACTGACGTCACATTCAGCCCTCACCACCTCATTTACACTCTTATAAATACACTGCCCATCGGACTAAAATCCACACTCTCTGGCTCTCTCAGGCCTCATCATACTGAATGCATCTTGATTGGCATTTACACAAGGCTGGCATTCTGGATCCCAGACTTTGCTGCTGTACATCAAATTGGACTCAAAGTTACTTGGGGAATTCCAATGGTAATCAGACCAGGTTTCTCTCTCTGCTTCATACAAGCTATCTTTTCATCGCACACTCGCCCACTTAATGACATCCTTGCCAGTTTCATTTGGTGACAGATTGCAAGTTGTTCTAATATGAAGTAAAATGCAAGTGGTAGCTGACATGATGATTTTATTGTTCAGATTGTGTTTTTCCTCTGATTCTTCATCTTGAGAGAGAACCAAATGAGAGATTTTCAGTGGTGGAGAGGTTTATGTAGTAATGCAGGAGTGTGTTTGTGACTCATTTATACCCCCCCAAAAAAGAGGAGTTTTACTTTGTTGCATTTCCAAGCCAAAGGCATGAGTCAGAAGGCTTTTCCCTCTATCTGTCTCATCTCAAAGGTTTATCAAGGGAATTGCAGTGGGGCAGAGAGCCAAACCCATCCATAGCTAACAGTTTTAGTGCTCACCATTTCTGCTTGCCACTGATTCCCTGGACCCTGAACGCAACATCTGCTGAGCTCATCAACAAACTGCTCTGGCTAAGTGTGTGCAACATGTGAACAGTAGAAAGAAAAGAGAGAGTAATGCACAAGAGACATGAGACCACACAGATGGAGTTGTTGAAGATGTATACCATTAAAAAGATTTTGGTGGGTAAGAATTTTTTCACACATAGATTAGGGTACAATTCTGGCAGAAGCTTCTTGTGCTAACCAAAGCTATATTTATTTGATAAAGAATTGCAGTAAAACAGTATAATAACTTAAAATAATCCCTTTTCTATTTTGATATATTAAAAAAAAAAAAACTATAAAATATGGTCATATAAAATGACATTTTCAGTAGCCATTACTCCATTTTTCAGTCACATGATTCTTCAGAAATCATTCTAAGATGCTGATTTTGTGATTAAAAAATATTTCTTAATATTGCAAATGTTGAACACAGTTGTGCTGCTTAGTATTTTTCTAGAAACATTTCTTTCAAGATTATTTGACAAACAGACATTACTCAACAAATATTATGTAACCATATACATGTATTTCACTTAGGATCAATTTATTGTGTCTTACCTGAATAAACTAATTCATCAAAAGAAAAAAAAAAAAAAAAAAAAAAAACCCTGACCCAAACTTCTGAACAGCAGTGTATAAACAGGCTAACATATAAAGATCTATATGAAGATTGTAATATTCTCTGATCAGATTATTTAAAGCACTTTAAAATTGCTTCAGCTCAGACCACAAATACCTACAATTAAAATCCACAAATCAAACAGATCCAATTTTAACCTAAGCATTAGTAAGGCACATAACTTTGTAGGTTTGAACTAAACACCATAATGTCTAATTGCTTTGCGGCTCTATTCTGTATGCAGCAACTCTCTCAAGGAATGTTTTATGATCACCAATTTGTACTCCATAAAGTGCATTGAGACCAAGCACAAAAAGAAAAGAAAAAAACATTTCCAGTGCAATTTCCACAAATGAGCCATGAGGCCAAAAGCAATGCTGAACTCAAGATAACAGCCAATTAGTGAGCTGGTGAACATGGCCGCTGTAATAGGCTGTTAGGATGCATCTTGATATGAGTAACTAATAAAATGTTTCAATGTTTTGCGGGGTCAAGTCATCACGCTCCAGGTGAATCAGCGCATGGTTGAAAAATGCTGAGTATACAGATGCAGAAAGGTTACATATGCACTTCAAGATTGGTTTAATTTATAAATATCCCATTTATCGCTCCATTTTTACCAAGAAATAAGCATCATAGTGATGATTTGCTAGGTTGTTTCTAAAGCTCTCTTGATTTTCTTATGATTTTAGTAGTGGCATTCTTTAAAGCTAGCCTTGCTAGCGGCAGACCATGTGTCATTGAGAATAAGACGTGGTCTGGAAACCACATCATTTTCTCGTATTTGAGGCGTGGTTTACAAATGCCCAGAGCTGTATTATAGGGTGCTACGAATGTCTATCAAATGAGTCTGTATGTAGCTCATAGCCAATCGGTTCAATGATACCAGATGGAGTATGTAGAACGAAAATTAGACTATGAAGACAACGATGGGTCAGAGATTTAGGAGATTTATGTATACACAAAACGTGTTTCTCAATGTCAAGGATACTTCCTTGGCGGGACGGGTCCTTCCAAATGATTTCCTTCAGAGGCTAGAAGAGGTTCCTCTTTAGCATTCAGAGAACACAAATGCAACAGGCTAGCAAGTGCACGCCATTACATCAGTGAAAGGTCCGCTTTTGGCGCTGCAAAAATGGTAGTGCTACTGGTTTGGTTGCTGTACCGCACTGTTTAAACACACTTGACAGTCCTTACTTTGTCTTGTCAGCCCACATAGAAATAAATAAATAAATAAATAAAAGTAAGGGATAATGTAAAGCGAGATGGTTGTTACAGCGAATACAACCCCACGAACTCTAACGCGAAGCGGAGGGGTCTTGAATCAGCCCGGAGGGGTTGTATTCGCTGTAACAACCACCTCGCTATACATTTTCCCACTTATAACATGGCTACCTACCAAATAAATCAATAATTTGACACAAATTATTGATTTAAATAAAGGAGTTTATCAATTTAAAAACTATTATATTACCAGAGTGAACTTCTGCGTCCATAGCAACACAATCTAGATGTTAAAACACATGAAATGGTAAAATATGTGATCAACAAAAAAGGCTAAAGTTATATGAAGTTAAAAATTAAAAAAAGTGAATCACCAGTAAAAGGGAACAGCTTTAAATCCCCCCTCTGCAAATCAGAGCCGATATGTTTAATGTCAAACATTAGGCTGTATCAAAAGGTAACTTCGCGTCCGCTGTCAAGACGGATCCCCATAGATATAAACAAACTGCTTCGGTGTGTCACATATACGTTGTCATCGTCTAGCTGCTCCCTCCCCATTCTGTGATTGGTTCCCTATCTCAGGCGAAAATTTGGTTCATGGCGTCCAGGCTGCCTAGCAGCGCGAATAAAATCGTGCTGCGGCAAGGCAGCATGGGAAAACCCAGGCTACTTAAAGCCTGTCTTCATATAAAAACACTGCCAATAGTTGCCTTCGGTGTCGGAGGTTATTCATCACATTATGACGTGTGTTAGGTATTACCAACTGCTTCAGGGTGGACAACTTGCTTTTTCCCCTGGAAAGGTAACTTTGCTGATGCTCTTGAAACAAAAATCCAACATTAATTTCAAGCTCCAGTGCAGTTAACGGCAAGGATATTAGATGAACCTTTTAAGGTCACAAACTTATTTCTGCCTTTCCTCCCCCCGAGAAATCTGACAAGCACAAGGAGAAAGCATCTGAAGCAGAACATGAAACACTGTATATTCTGACCAGATAGGCTTCTCTGCACTGTCAGAAGTGATCACCTTCAGACTGGGCCATAGAGCTCATGTCCACAGACACGGCCTGCATGTTTTCTGGGGGCATGTACATTTGCTGGAAGCTTTCGGCTGCATTTTTTTCATTATTTCTGCATTTACTCTTATATTCGCACAGTCTTAGCCATTACTTATCCGTACAGGCTCAGATTGCAAACCCACTGAAGCATGACTGGAAATGTGGGTGCTGCAAATAAAACTACAGGTGGATCTTAGCTAGTAGAAAGAAGCGGGATTCTGTAAATATTGAGAGAACGCAACACTTGAAAGCTTGAGTGTGCTCAACTGTGAATTTGCCATGGATGAGGAATTATTTTGAAGTTTGGTTTCTTGGAAATGAAAACAAATCACATTTGAACTGTGCGGTTTCCTGAGGATTATTTCCTCTTGTATTAATCCCTTTCCAACTTTCATTGTGATTTTAAAATTACAATGCTTAATACCACCGGTCTCAATTTGCCAAGACGTGGCTGCAAAATGTCACACATCGATATTAAAAGAAAAGTTAACAGAAAATCATGTTTAGATCCTCATCCCAATTAAGTGTGTCAGTGAAAAAAAATGAAATCACATTTGCCTCATCAAGTGTCAAGGTCACCATTAAAGCTAAAGAATAGCTAACGGCCCTGTTACATTATGAATTTTGCTGTGATACAGTAAAATACTAAAGCTTATTATTATATTATTAATACTTATATTCTTGTTTCACACATACACACATAGTTAGTTTTTTTTTTTTTTTAAATGGGTTATGTGATTTAATGCTTAATATATGGCATTACTACCCACTCAGCAGCAGCGGATGACAGAGGGTAATAAAAATAACTACAGAATAAAACAGAAATAATGACCATGGCTCTCCATTTGATGGTTTATAGTTTTTTTTTTTTTTTTTTTTTTTGTTTTTTGTATAAAGCTGGGTGTACAGCATTTACTTTTCTCAGTAGTTCTTCACTGTTGCTTGTTAGATTGTATGAAGAGGCATCTTGGGTAAAAGCGAAGGCATACAGACCAACATCAATAGTCTTGTATGCCAGACAGTAGCTCTACATCATAGGAATTTCATGACTGACAGTGTAGACTGACCATTTTAAGTCAGCAGAACACAGCTATTATGCCATCCTCATTTACATGTGAAACTG